ACACACACACACACAGGTAAACACAAACACACACACACACAGGTAAACACACACACACACAGGTAAACACAAACACACACACACACAGGTAAACACAAACACACACACACACAGGTAACCACAAACACACACACAGGTAACCACAAACACACACACAGGTAACCACAAACACACACAGGTAACCACAAACACACACACACACACACACACACAGGTAACCACAAACACACACAGGTAAACACACACACACACAGGTACACACACAGGTAAACACAAACACACACACACACAGGTAAACACAAACACACAGGTTTACTTCGGTCACTTTTAGGGACATCACATGAACTTACATTCACTTCCTGGAGAGTAACTGTAACCCTCACCTTAACCCCGCTGGTCTTCAGTCTGAAATGTGTCATCAAAGGTAGCCTAAGTCAGGAACACACACACACACACGAGAGGAAAAAAATGCCAAACAGGAATGGCCAATTAGGACCAAATGAGAGGAACAAGGGAGTGAAGGGGAACAGGATGGAGAGTCAAATCAAAGCGAAGGGACCAGCGTCTCGGGAAGGAGGATGAGCCTGCTGAGGACCCCCCCCCCCCCCCCCGAAGGTGTGTTGCCATGGTGACCAGTGTGGGCTGTTCTTTTTCTGGCTCCCGCTGCTGGTTACCATGACAACCCAACCACCCTCAGTCAGTCACATTGCTGCCGAAATAAGACAGAGAGAGAGAGAGAAACCAAACGGAGGGAGAGAGAGGAGCAGAGAGTGGGACGATGGTAGTTTAGTGAATGTAAGTTTGTCTTATTTTTCATGTTGAAGCCTCTTGATGCTCACAGTCATAAATGTTATCGTCTCATGTGATATATGTGACACAACATGGCAGTATTTAGGACAAAATTGAACTTTCAATGGAGGATCGTATGTTCCTGCTGTTTCCTCATCGCGTCCTGCCGTCTGTGTGTTTTCCTGATTTAGTTATCTGTGCGATGCCCGTGCATCCATCGTGACCTTTTGAGATATACGGCTGTAGGAGGAGGAGGAGGAGGAGGAGGAGGAGGCAATTAGCATTCTCCTCCGCCTGTGATTGTTGCTATGGGGATAGATGTGTTACCATGGCGATGCAGCGGGGCAGTATAAAAGAGGAACACGGGGGCTCTGAGTCAAAACATGAAACAGTGGTCAGTAGTTATCGTGTGAATGAACAAAAGAGAAAGTGTGACATTTTTATTCATAGATTTATTGCAGCAACATAAAAATGTACATTTTGTCTTTAATATCTGTTTTTTGTGAAGTGGTCCAGCGGAGTGGAAGAAATAAAAAGCACTGTTTGTTAACCCCCCCCCATTTCATAACGTGTTTAAAGGCCGTAATTACACAAACAGGGTTCCCACTAGGACACAGAGCTCAATGAAACATGCTCCGAGGTCGCCCACATGAAATACAATAACCTGTTTATGGTTCTGGACGAGTGATGGCTGAGGATAATTCATTATACTTGCTAAGCTTGGGTCATGACTGATGTGAGAGTGAATGAGCCCTCAGTTTGTTTCCAATAAGAAAGAAGCCTTTCTGAAAGGCAGTACTTGAAAATATGATGTAAAGTAATTTATCTTCTTCTCAGAGTGAGCAGCAGAGAGAGCTCACCCAGATCCAGTACCTGGCCTGGCCAGACCACGGCGTACCGGACGACTCCACTGACTTCCTGGACTTCGTGGCTCTGGTACGGACCAAACGCGCTGGACAGGACCAGCCCATGGTGGTGCACTGCAGGTACAGTCGCCCCCTTTTTGTGGTTCGATGTCGATAGACTGACATGGTCGACTCATTTCAACTCTTAATTCTCTGTGGTCTGTATGCTTTACAGTGCAGGGATCGGTCGGACAGGGGTTCTGATCACAATGGAGTCGGCATTGTGTCTGATGGAGTGCGGTCAGCCAGTGTATCCTCTAGAGATCGTCAGGACCATGAGAGACCAGAGGGCCATGATGATACAAACACCTGTATGTAGACGCATCCCTTTGTCTGTCTAGCTGCTCTCATCCTCTTGAATCCATCAGCCAAAATATCTCTCTCTCTCTCTCTCTCTCTGTCTCTGTCTCTGTGTCCATCAGAGCCAGTACCGATTCGTGTGTGAGGCCATCCTGAAGGTCTTCGAGGAGGGCCTGGTCCAACCATTCAGGACCGTCGTCTACCAGCTGAGAGACAGAGTGGACGAGGAGAGGGAGGAGGAGACGATGGAGCAGCAGAAGGCCGGAGAGGGGGAAGAGGGGGAGGCGGCCATGGTGGTGTTGCTGGAAGGAGATCTGGATGAAGAGGACGACGACGACGAAGAGGTGGAGGTGCTGGATGTGGGGGTAGTGAAAGAAGAGGAAGAGGAGGAGGATGAATATGAGGAGGAAGGGGAGGAGCCAAGCGTTGCAAGTGTAACAAGCGTCGCTAGCATCGCGAGCGCTGCAAGTGCTGCAAGCGTTACGAGCGCCATCAGCGAGACCAGCGTGAACCCTGATCCTGACCCGGACCCTGATCCTGCTGACCCGTGACATTTGACCTTTGGTAGTCATGAGGGTTTCCAGGAGGAGGCCAGGTGGGCCGGAGGAGAGAACAAAAGCACTGTTGCACTTTATGCTGACAAAAAAACGGAAAAAAAAGACACACAAACGAACATACGTGGAAGTCATGGACAAGCTAGAATAAAAAAAGAAACCCAGCTGTGTTGAATAGGTACCATTAGTGGATATTGTATGTTCAGGGTAAAGAAAAAAGTCATGAAAAGCGAATGAAAATTTAAACGTACAAGAGAATAAAATGTGGATGGGGAATTGCTGTAGTGCCATAAGTACGAAGGGGAAGGGCTGCCCCCATGGATGGAAAGGCGTCGCCCTGTCCCCTTCTGAGCGAGTCTGCCAGACAGACCTGCCTTTTTTTAGTGTCCTTTTAGCTGATAAAGAGATAAACCTTATCTTTTGTTCCTCAGAAAGAGTATTTATTGTGTTTTAGTTTGTGTCAAACCCTGTCCACTGAACAAAAAAAAAAAAAAGACTTGTATGTTTGTTTGTATGAATCTAGAGCTTCATGCTTTCCTGATTAAATCCTAGGTAGTAAAGTAGTGCGATTCCTCTTCTAACTACTCTTCTTTTGCTTTCCATGAAGAAAAAAAAAAACAGATTTAATTTATTGTACTTGGTTTTTTAAATCTTTCTCAGCTTTCTTGTCTCTGACAGCACCGACTGACAGATGGACCGCTGAAAGCACTTTGTGTCTCACCTCTTGTTCAATGCTGTGGCAAGTTGTGCTCCTGATCCTTCTTTGTGCTGTGTTTTTGAGCTCTACAGACGCTCTGAGGCGAGCCATTGTTCGGCATGGTGAAGAACATATCCGGTTTACAAGCCTCCGTGTTTGGCGTGGGCCACCTCTCTTTCACTTCCGTTTCTCTCTGACCGCAGAGTCAGACCTCCCACTGAAAAGACATAATGAACTTTCAGCAGTGATCCATTATTCAAATTCTGGTCACTTTGCGTAATGCTCAACAGCACATTATGAAGACGGCGTCATGAAGAGAGGCGACCAGTAGACACACGGCCTCACTGAGTTACAATCTAAGCTGAGAAAACAAGGCCGAGGTCAGTTCAGTTCTTTAATCCACACGCAGTCAAGATGATATTTAAATCAAACCCCTGCTGAAGTGTCCTTGAGCCAGACACTGACAACAAATCCTCATGGTGTGTGAAGCTCTGTGGCTTCACTCTGATTGGTGTCAATCACTTAAAGACACCGGTATCATTAATTAGTTCTTGAAAGCTGCTCTGGCGATCAGCATTTGCTTTTTGGAATTGCGTTGACAGTGAACTGATCTCAGCCTTAGTGTGACTAAACCTTTAAAAGCTTCCTCCACTGACCTCCTTTCTTTTTACACAAACATTTAAATATGAACGGGAGCAAACCTGGATCTCTCCCGACACTTTTGCAGTTGTGACTGGTGGGTCGTAGACTAGTCCAGGGGTCACTGGAGCGGGGCTTTAATCCAACCTTTGCCGTTTCATTTTCTCAACGCGTCTGCTTGTCTGCCAGAGAACAGTTGACAGTTCAAAGAAGCAGCACAAACGGAACATTCAGCCTATGCTTTCCCATTGGTACTTCATTTTAAGGCACATGTTTGTCTCTGTTGTCAAGCCAAGATGATGACGTGTTAATGAGAGAGAGTGTTAATGAGACTAAGTGATGACTTGTATTTTTAAATTCACAAAACCCAGCATCAAGTTGCCTGTTGAGTCTTCTTTTTTGTCAAAGTACAGGCGAAGCTGCCGTTGTACTTTACATAGTGGTATGGAATGAAGTGTAGCCTCTTCATGATTTTAGATATTTTTCTTATCGGATGCTTCAGTACCTGCTGTTAAAGAAAACAAACACCTACTGCTGTGTGTGTGTGTGTGTGTGTGTGTGTGTGTGTGTGTGTACTCAGATTCCCGTCTTTCTCTTTCTCTGTACCTCTCCCTCCTTTATTTCTAACGTACAGTTTGTTAGCTGTCTGGTCTAAGCCTGCTTGTCCGTCAACTGGAACGAAGGGTTGTGCCATAAAGCCACAAACCTCATCTAACCTGATCTCAAGTGTTTCTGAAGAAACTCAGAGCTTTCTTGGAGAGTGTTTTTTATTTTTTTAAAGTCTGTCCTAAGAACCAGGCTGAATCTTTGCTTGTGAAACATTTCAAACCATGCTCGTACCTCCCTTTGAAACAGCCGAATCACACTTTTGACATGCAGAGAGGTGGGATCAAGAAGAGTATAGCTTTCCTCTTCTCTCTCGCTCTCTCTCTTTTTATATATCTCCTATATTGCGGACCTCTCCCAAAAATCTGCCCAGCTCCTTCTCTCAGGCAACATCAGTGATTTCTGCAGAGCCCACGCAACATCCACAGTCCATTCTTCTCATTGTTCTTCCCCAGATGCCTCTCGTTTGGATCATTTCACATGGAACCCACTCTCTCTGCATGGCCTCAAGGCAAAATGACACATCTGAGCAGAATGCCACACGGGGACAGTGGACACACCGTGGGCAGCCGGTGAATGAGCGAATAACTGCCCCACATGTATGCGCTTTTAATCAAAAGAACAACCATTCAGCACTTCAGTGGCTTTTCCTCCTCACTTTTTTGTATTGAGCAGCAGGGCCAACCACATCAAATTGAGTTAACTGTAAAGGCCTCGTGATAAAGTGGCATCAATAACAAGTTACCCAAAATAAAACATGGACCCCTGCAGTGCAAAGTTAATAATTGATAAATCAGGGCTGCCAGTTTCCATCTGCACCAACGATCCAGCGATGAGCTTTCTGTGTTCAAAGTGTTTTGTGTTGACACATAATTGGTCCTCTCTGTGCGTTTAGGGTACTGATCAAAGGTAGTGTGGAGGGGACCGGGGCGGGGGGGCGGAGCCTCGGGTTAGTTGTATTTTTGTAAAGATGAAAACGGCTCTAGTTGGATAGGGAAAGGACAGCACTTTGTAGAAGGCTGGAGGGGGGGAAGGAGGTAATGATGCATTGTTAAAATGAGTTCTTTTTTCTTTTTCTTTTTTTGGAATTTGACATTTTTAGTTTGTTTAAAAATAAGATATGTAGGGAACAAGAAGAAAAGAAGAAAAGACTGAACTCCTATAACTACACAGTGCCACTTGTTAATTTTGTGTAAATAATACTAGACCATGTAAATACAATGTTGTATATGAAAAAAAATCTTTAAAATAAAAGGGAAAATCAATTGTGAGCAGAAAGATTTAGTTTTTATTTTCCTTTTTTTTTGGATTTTATTTTCTCTTTTGGATGATTCAAATGTGACACAATTGGTGTGTATTTCAAGACTGCTATTTCAAAATCTGTTTTGTTTGAGACGTTATCTATTACAGCGAGTGTATATACAATGAACCACAAAACAATGAGAAATGTTTTACCGTATTATACCCTTGGTTAACTCCTACCTGTGTCATAAAAACCTTTGTCCTCAGTTGCTTGTTTCTTTCTGCTATGATGGTTTATGGTGCTTTGTCTGAAAGCTTGATTGTGAACAATTAAAGCTCGTGTGTCAAAGCATGGAGACGTGGCCTCAGATCACCTTGCTTTTCCACCCTGTGATGTTGGGCAATGAGCAGCGAGCGGATCAGAAAGAAGACACCGGTGCTGAAGACCGTGGCCAGAATCACCTATTTTATTTGTGAGCCAGTAAAACCAGGCCAAATATCTGTGCAGTGAATACGCTGTCCACATACATTTTAGTGATCAACATAACGGTGATGAAGAGGCCCTGGGTTTATTTAAAGCCTCCTAAATATTAATAATTTCACAATATTGTAGGGAACACAAAATATAAACCTAAGATATGACTATGTAATATTAATGACCAAGATATAGGATATATAAGAATAACAATCATGCCATACTGTTGCAGTCCTTCACATTTAATTCAGCTTTATTTCAGACACATCACATAAAAAAGTACAACACAGGTATTATTGCAGTTCGTAAGTCCTCAGTGATTAGAAGACAAACAAACATTTGTACATAAAATTCCTCAACACAGCATTAACATGTAGTCACAAACGTGGATTGCAATTGTCCATCTTGGGAGCTTGAGCAGGATTCTGAATGAGTCATTAAATACCACCCGAAGCTTTTTCACTTTTGCTTTACTGTAACTGCACAACAAGTGGGCTCTAAAGAGAGCTGGTTAACATCCTCCGTACACATAGGTCATTTACGTGCTATAGCCTATTGGCTTCTGCACTACGGTTTGCAACACTGCCCACTAAATGTGAGCAGACTGAGCAGTTGCTGTAAGCCAACCATAAAAGAAGACAGGACGACTAAGTCATCAGCCGCATTAGATGGTTGATAAGACTGTTCCCCCACCATACATCCAGTCTTACAATCTTTTAACTTTTTAGAAAGATCATTCACGTACAGATTAAAGAGAACAGGTGACAATATTCTACTTTGTTGAACCCCAGTACTCACTAAGAAGGGTGCAGATACACTCTTACCCCATCTAGCTTGGGATAAACTTGAAAGCAGTGTCCCTGTTCCTGGCACTGATTCAGTGTCATCAAAAAAGACACTTAAGGCATTAAAATACTTGTTGACAGGGGCAATAGACTTATTTATTTGTCCACACAATGCTAACCTTCTATGATAACCTCCACACCCTAACCAAACAGGTCCTATAGTCTCTGACCACCTTTTCTAAACCATTATTCCCAAACTAACCAGAAGGGGATGCTGCTGTCTAATGGTGACAACACCGTATGGATCAAACGAGGCCAATCTTCTTCATACTATAAGTTTTAAATGGCATGTCAACTATTTCGTGAATATATGGTTATTAATATATTTTACTGTTCATAACGTTATTGTGTGTATAATCAATTATAAACCTTATTCTCTCTGGTCTTGTATCAATAAAGTACACTATAACTGAAAAAACTAAATGTAAACTCGCATGGGGCAACAATACTTTAAGTGTGTGTGTGTTTTTTTTTGGGAGGAAACCCCACAAAAAGAATATTTTATTAACTCTGCCAGCTCATATAAAAACGGCATGTCGCTTTAAATATGCTAATTACGTTTTTTGTTTGTTAGGGATTTATAGTGACGTCACATCCGGAGGAAAGCTTTGCCTCCTACTTTTTGTTGGGACCTGGGAGAGAAAATTACCCCGCAGAGGTAACGAGGAGGGGAGAAAAAGGAAGAAAAGAGGAACAAGTTACAAACCGCGGACATGTACAAGGTTGCTGTTTAGTCGTCTACGATGCAAGCGGACGTCCTCTCGCCGTGAATTCAGTCTTTCGTACGTATGCGTTCTTTATCCACAAGTGACTGCGGAGCAAGTGTACGTCGGATACAGCTTTTCGAAGCAAAAGACGGCGTTTGTTTTGCTATGCGGGGACACCCTTGCGCGGGCGGAGTCATGTGTGTCGCGTACGTTAACCGCTAACGGTTAGCTCCTGGTAATAAAAACAAGCGCACACCTGTTGCTTTTGCTTACATCAAGTTAACGTTACTCTCAGGCCTCAAAACTGGGTACAATTGTGAAGCTGTGGGTTAAATTGTTCATTTGTTTGGTTCATTAATATTATTTTAGCAGAAGAATGTTGTAGTTTTCTAGCCTGTCTTTGTAAGGGGTTTTGTAGTTTGCACATCTTTGAAGTCGATTCGTTGGCTAACCTAAGATTGTAAATTAATGTTCTTTGTACTTTGTTTTTTTTTGTATTTGTTGAATATTATACTATTTTTTTATTTTTATCCTTGCTGGTTTTACACATATATATATATATGAGATTACGATATAAGTTAATACACACAAATGGACCTGTTAGTTGGTAGTTTGCCAGGTATCCTTGATGGAAAACTAACTAGCTGCCTGCTGACATTACAACAGTCAACTAAAAACAATACATGTCATGTTTCTGTGGTCCGAGTAAGCAACTGTTGTCCACCTTACATACTTGTATGTTTATTGTGCAGTTCACAAATACAAACTTAACATCTTGTGTGTATTCATATCCTCCCTCTTCTCCTACAGGTGTAGCAGTGTATCCCTCCCTCTCTCCCCCATCATGCTGAGTTTCCTGCGCAGGACGCTGGGCCGACGTTCCATCCGGAAACATGCGGAGAAAAGTCGGTTACGGGAGGCCCAGCGTGCCACGACGCACATCCCTGCTGCTGGGGAGGCAAAGTCTGTCATCACCTGCCGTGTGTCCTTACTGGACGGGACGGACGTCAGCGTTGACCTGCCGGTAAGGAGGGTTGTGCGTGTTCATTATGCCACAGTGTGGATGTTAACAGTGAGCACCACCCAGATGCTTGTTGATCTCCAGGCATCATTTTGGATGTTGTGTGTGTGTGTGTGT